AGGAATAAGCAATTCGCCATTTCGAGATTTAGTTATACTATTAGGGGTGGCTGCATACTGGTGATATCGGGGAATGGTTACCGAATGGAGCTCTGAAAATAATCGATAGGAAAAACGCTCTTTTCAAGCTTGCACAAGGAGACTTTGTGTCGCCGGAACAAATCGAGACAGTCTACCTTAACTCTCATCTAATTGACCAGGTTCGTATCAAAGAGAGCAAGAAATAATATTGAAGATCCTCAGGTAAAAATTGAAGTTGTATACGCTAACTTTATCCCAATTCAATGTAAGTTATAATAAAGTTATCTCTACCTTTTTTACATAACTGCGTTTCATCAAAGGCTTTCTTCTCAGCGCAAACATTGGACATTTCATGTTTTATAATGTACTTCAAAACAGAGAGGCAGATTAGATGTGCAAAAGTAGCAACTCTCGGGTCACTATTAAAGACATGCGCCTGCATTTACTTTTAAACAGGATAATCTGGATAATTGTAAAAACATTACCTCAAGGTCCGGTCGGCGGAAGAATGCGCGCGAAATGCCATCATGTGCAGACTCCCTTATTCTTGTAATGGAAGTCTTGTTTAACATATCTAATTATATTAGGTGAAGCTATTAAGGAAAAGACTAGCGTAACAAACCAGTAATTTTTGTAACCATTTTCTAATCGCTAAAATTGCGAAATCGTCAATTTTCAGATATTCGTCACCGGAATGACCACTCGGTCTTTCTTAGTTGGAATTGCCGTGGCAAACATTGCTTTTCTTCGTGATGTTCTCAAATCACGCAGTGACGTCAGTTGCTCCTGACAATATATATGTATATATACGAATTAATAGTGACAATAGGTATGGAATCTCAATTCCAGTTAGCCCGATTTGCCGATTCACCTATAGAGAAGCTGCTATCCGAATCTGACGTACAGAGGTTTGTACTACAAGAGCTCAATCGTACAGGGAAGGAAAAAGGTCTGCAGTCAATCGAACTAATCAAGAGCATACATCTTATTCCGGAAGTGAGCAACGTACCTTCAATTGATTAATGCCGTTCATCTGTAATTCACACTTGTCGGTTCACTACAAACATCCTATTTAGGAGCTGACAGCTGAGAGCGGTCTAGTCACCCCAACACTAAAGCTTCGACGACATTTATTGAAACAAAAGTTTTCCAAAGAAATAGAACGAATGTACGCAGGAGAAACAGCGTTATAGCTGTATTGTATATTAGTTGATTCTATCTATGTGTATTTTAAATTAAAGCAAATCTTGTGTCTGATTCGATTGTGTGCAATCTGGGCCAAACTTCGCGTATACACTCTAGGCGCAAGCGAGTTAAATAGCCTACTTTATCAAAAAATTATTATCCAATCAATTGTCGCTCAAGCTGCTGTTAGAGGTCATGTGGCACGATGTTTTTTTTTTCGATTGCCACAATTATGTGCTAGTTATAATACCACCAAAAGCTTTTAATAAGCATTCAAGAAATCAGAAAGGAATGTCAACTATCGATGTTGATATGCGGAGACTGCACGTATTATTATGGTCTGATTTTGTTGAACCTACGAACCAAAATCCTTCTAGATCCATCCGAATTTTTTAACTTGCAATTTCATAATTTCAGTCAGTTCCTCTTTATGATTTCCAAACATAGGCAAGTTTTATAATTTTTCTCGACCCACAATCAACACATGAAATTTGAGTGTTATATGGAGAGCAATACACATCTCCCCTTAATGACAAGCAAAAAGTGCACTACTCAGCGTATATCCAAAATTGGCTGCGAGGCAGTCCCTTACCTTGATTTCGATTTTGATTTATTTGACACGCATTGGGTCATTGATTAAATACTTTTCATAAACAACTTCAGAATACTCCATAAAACGTGGA